CAAAAAAAAAAAAAATCTATTTAGCCAACCATTACCTCAAGAGAAATCCGCACAGAAGGGTATTTCCCAAAGTGACTGACTTGCTTGGATGGGCGCCAGATTCTACTTCTCCATGGTTGTTCCCCATCCCATACATTGAGCGGTGTGGTATTCTGCTAATACCCCCGATACAACACAACTGGTAGCTCCCTGGCGGGTTGCCTCCTGGACTCTCTATAGTACCAAACATAAACAATCTTCTACAAAGTACACTAGTATAGATGTTGATAGCATGGCAGCAGTGTGGTATTCATGAATGCTCCTGATACAAAACAACTGATAGCTCCCTGGCATGTTGCCTCCTAGACTCATTAAAGTACCAAACATGAAACCTTCGGCAAATTACACTAGTGCAGGTGTTGATAGCAGGGCCGCATGACACCTTTATGTACTTGGTACCACGCTCATTGACAATGCTTTGTTCAGCTGTGTCATTACTCGTCGTACCTTGGGAATTTGGAAGATTTATGGTGTACAGGTTTGGAGCGGAGGCTTGCCAAAGTGGTACTTGGCTTGTCGGATAATGAGAGAGCCTACAAATAGGCTTAGTCTAGAATAGCCTACAAAGCATTTGTACTTCCACATAAGGAAATTAGGAAACCTCATGGTGGACACCTCAACTATTTACTTTAGCAGCGATTTAAGCACTACATTTTGGAGCATATTCTATGACTGTAGTCCTTACGATTATAGCATTAGTTGTCTTTTCTTCTTTCTGATGCACACATACTTACTCTCTCTGAATCCTGATGAGCGACTACTGGAAGCTGCTGGAACACTGCTGCCGTTGTGTTCTCTCTTTCTCTTATCCTTGCCTGAACCCTTTGTACTTTGGGTTATGGTGTAAAACCTCCATAGCCTCAAGTTCGGGTGCAACTGTACTAGAGATTTGCGAATTAGTGTTTGTTATCCGGAGGCATTACAAGAAAGTGAGCGGTGCAACTACCTAGGCCCTTAGGCTTATTTAAATAAATATTCCTGGTAGGTTAGTGAGACTAAGCTAGTCAAGGAAGGAAGACAAGATAAGAACCATAAATTTGTGTCACTGGGCTGCAAAGGCACTCCTGGGGAAAGGCTTTTGAGAGAGATACGGGTGAAGCAGATCCTTTAATTGAATATGCTAGGTGGCGTAAAGATTCTATTTCTCAATGCATTTACACTGTCTACAAAGGGCCTCTTAGTCTAAAAAAGGCCCTCTTAATGTTTAGCAATTTTCACAAGACACTGCTGCGCCTATGTTTGGGCTTTTGCTACATCTTATTATAATATGCCACATGCAAAGGATTATGGAAACAGAGGTGCCATTTGATAGATACCCCTGGCCCTGGCAAGCCCTTTAGTAAGATTATTTGATCAGTGTGATCACCAGATTTATAACTGTTTTATGGATGGTCAAAATCTTAGATTATGCATTTTCCTAAATGTGGAGTTATATTCTTTCTTTATTTTTTCATTTCTTTTTTTTAAGGGATGCTTCTTTATTTGTGCTAGATTGACATGATATGTGTGGTCTGTTCTGATGATGTCTTGTAAAAATTTATGAAATACCTGTCTGCTCTTGCTGATGCTTTTTTTTGTATGCTGACTGGAAATTGGTGGTTTAATGTGCTACAGTGTGTACAAATTGGAATCATTATTGGAAATATATAGTGATGCTCACACATTTGGGCTGAAATCTGCCAATTCCAAAGCTGTTAGGAATTCTAATCTGGCAATCTCTTGGTTGGAAACAACATTTCCCGAATTAGCTTGCCTAGCAGTAGATGGTGGAAATTTATCTGCACTTAAAGCTCAGCCTTATAATTTATTTGATGCATCAGTTGTATTGCAGGTATTATTCTTATCTGATATTATGTTAGTTTCTGAGTGCCATATGTACTCATTTTTGTTGAAATAAGAATAGAGCAAATTAGTATGTGATGATGTATGGGAGTTTTTTTCTAATATGTTGCCTTTTACTTGGAGCCTATTTTCCACCAATAACATTTGCGAATACTTTCAGTGCTGTGTTGGTATTTATCTGTATATAATGTATTTGTATTGCGTAGAAAATTTTACTTCATGCCCATGTTTTACATCTTTTGTGTATGTGCACGCCTGTGTGTGCATGTCTTCCTTTAGCTAGATATACCAGTGTCAGATTTCGTTGTTTATCATTGTTTAATATTCAGCACTTTCCACACCACTAATTCTCTGGTTTATCTGCAACATCTACAAGAATCAAACAGCAATTCTTTTTCTAATTTGCCAGGGGCCTCTCCGTAAAGTATGTCATGGTGAGGAAGCAAATTCAGAAGTTCAGGCTGCAGAGTGTGAAGGCCGGGCTGTCAGTTTTCTTTATAATTCAGTTAGCAAAGATTCAATTCTTGTTACTGCCTGGAGTGGTGGGCAATTACAAATAGATGCCTTAGCTGATGAAATTCAGCCAGTTTGGGCTGTAGGTAACCCACCTCGGCTTTGTGTTGATTCTTATGACCGTATACTTGGTGTTGCTATGATTTGCGAATCAGTGCCCAGTGATCTCTCCATTGTAAAGCTTGACCAGTCACCTGATCATACTGTGTGGTTGGGAGATCCACCTCCTTTGTTGAGGTTGGCTATCGTGGATTTGGCTCTGCCGAGAAACCGAGATAGCGGTTCACTTATTTCAATGTTTGTCGACCCCCTTATGCCAGAAAGACTATATTCTCTTCATTATGGAGGGATAGATTCGATAGTGTTGCATTTTCTCCCTTTTACAAGTCAGACAACTGGCACGGATGAGGTCACGAGAACTCCCTCTGTGCATTCCGTTCTTAGTACATGCCCGGGACAATCCTCCCCACCACCTCCTCTTTGTGGCTTTGTTGCTTTATCAGATTCATTTGGACATTCATGGGTCGTGGGTCTCACCTCCTCTCAAGAGTGTGTTGTGCTAGAGATGGAGACTTGGAATCTGTTGCTTCCTCTTAATGTTGACAATGAGAAGATACCCACGAGCTTGAAAGAGCCAAAAGAGAATGATGCGCCAACTATTATTAGCAAAGACCTCCTTAGTGGCCCTAAGGTGGTTCTTTTACCTCCTTCCTTGCCAAATCTTCGTTCTGTTGCTGCTGATTCTATTGAAGGTCGATCCACTCTACATCAGTACTTCAAACTGTTTCATGAAAACTATGTAGAGTATGCACATAAGGTAAGAACTTTCAAATCTTATTTTTGTTTACCAATTTTGTTTGCACCTATCATTTTCTTTGACTGGAGTCTTCTTGTTACCAACTATTAGTTGGATAACAAATGATTTCCTCAGGCGGAATTTATTGGTGATAATTTCGCTTAGCACGTGTCGGATGTATGGATAATTTCCACGCATTTCAAAAAGCAGGAATTTTTAGCAAGATGCTAGGTTTTTTTTTTTGAACTCAGCAAGGTGCTAGTTGAATTATACCAAAAGGTATCATCCAATTTTTATCAACTTTGTTCAGATATATTAAACGTCAAATGCAAAAATCTAAAGGAAATTGCTTTTAATTTTTGTGCAAACCAATTCTTGATTATAACAAAAGGATAACAAGATTTGGTGCTGGAACCTCCATGATCTTGGACCGGCACTATCTTTAGTTTTTGGATTTCGTAGTCGTTTGGCTATTTGTTAAGAAGTTGTAAAAGCTGATTCTGGAAAATATTCTTCTGGATTCTGTGTCCCCTTGGCATATGTTTTTGGCATTTGAGCAGTTTATAAAGGCTATTTCCTCCCTGGTTTCTAGGTGTTCTTTGAACTGAAGCATCATGGGCCTCATTTGAAGAGAATCATTGATGACCAGCATTCTCGTTTACGTGAGGCACATCAGAAACTTTCAGGAGCAGAGGAAAAACAGGAAAAATTAGAGGACCGCATTTCTCGTGCAATTCAGCTTCACAGTCTCCTAGAAGAACGCCTGCAAAGATTGAGAACCCTGCCAGGGGCACACAAGAAACCACTTTCAAAAGCAGAACGAGGATTTAAATCAGAACTTGGTAACTAATTGTCTTTTTTTTTTGCATTTACTTTAGCCTGATTTGTTGCACGAATAATTCGGTCATTTGTTGGTCAAGGGCAAAGGAATGATATTTTTGAGTGGGGTTGGTCAACAACTAACAAAAGTAGTAATTTCATTTTTAAGGTATATGCTCCAAATTTATTTATTTTTTTGGTTCATAGTCTGTTGCAATTCATATTAGGAGAAGGAAATAGAGACAATACCCAGAAAAGTTTTCCAATTTCAAAATTGTAGTGGCGTCAATTGACTCCCTACAGTCCACACAGCGCCACGCATGTCTGTGATTTGTTCCTATTTTTGGTTAATGATATCTTAGTATATGATTTCGTCTCATTTCTTTAGCTCGGCTTGGAATGGCACTTAATATACTATTGAATATCTACTACAGACAGATTCACTGGAGTGGAGTTGGATGCTTTGCGCTCTTCCATTGAAGCGTTGAATGCAAGGTTGAAAAAATTCACTCATTCGCCCGAGAGCTGTCTATCTAACCAACAAAGGCAACTATCTGGGAGGAGGAAGAATAATGTCCAAGACGATGAAATCTTACACCTCAGATCCTCAGTTGGAAAACTTTCCCTTGTTAACAGTGAGAATTCCAAGAAGGTTAAACTTGTTGAATCTACATTGAAAGCCCGTGAAATCACCAGATCATGAACCCACAACTCGGTTTTCGTTGAAGTATCAGGGTTATGTGTCAATTTTGCCAGTGGTAGGAAACATGTTCATTCTGATGTCCAGTTTATCTCAGATGAATTATGCGGCAGAAGGCAGATAATGTTCCAACCGAAGCTTCCAAAACTAAGATGCAGTTGAAGCCATAATCATTGGTGGAGTTATTTAGCTGGTGGTTTCCGGCCAAAGATGCTCTTCATGCCAGGTTTCTGTTAAGACTGTTCTATTTGTAAGTGTATTATCATTCAGTGTTATTATTATCATTATACTCTGTTTTTGGTAACTGATTTGTTTCCCAATTTCTTTAATGCGCATTTTGGAGAAAAGTTTTAGAATTGGATTTGCCTCAACAGCCCCCACGTTCAAGCCCTGAACTGGAAACGCTCTTTCCGGACATGGTCTATCTATCTTTATAATAGAGTATAAAAGGAGATAAGTCAGAGTCACCCCCGCTGGATTGGACTCTCATCATATCCTTACAGCTCGGATGACAATGATTAGTGACAAATTTTAATAATGATTAGTGACAAATTTTAATAAGGCTAGAGGTCAATATTCTGGTGTCATGTTTAAATTGAGTCATTTAGACGCGAACTGATTATGTACAATCGGGTAAATTCATGTAACTTACAATATACAGTAGAAAAATCTTCTACTATCAATGTTTGACATTGATCCAACCATTTTGCATTCATGTTAGTGGATCGTTGTATATTTTTAGTTTGTATTGAAAATATGTCAATTTTAAGCCACAAATTTGATGTTATTTAGACATGTCAAAATTTGTCACCCCTACTAATGGGTGCCCTAAGTCTCATCTATAAATCAATTAGTTAATTCGATGATCTCAAATAAATTTATTCAACAGTCATCAATATCTCTCACAATTATTCATATTGTATTGTATTCATAGGTACGAGTTATTCTTAGTTAAGCCATAATTAAACTCATAGAGTTTCCAATCCGTTCTCTAGCTCTGCCCCCAGTTCATTAATCGATAAATGTATCGCTTCTTACCCAAAAAAAAAAAAAAAAAAAAAAAAAAAATATTGGAAGCCAAAACATACTTCTTTAAATAATTTGTCGGGAAAGTCCGTGATAGCAAAAAAAATTTGGTATTGTACAGTTAGTTATAATTTTTTATTGTAAAATTATAACTTTGAAAAAAAAAATTACTAACTGCTTAAAAAAAATGTTATGATTGATTATTAACAATTATGAATTCTTGATATCGATGATAGCCTTCCGTAATTAATTATGTCTTTTGAAATTATAATTTACACTTCAAAAAAAATTACGACTTATCCATAAAAAAATATAATTTTTCACGCCGTCCTTCCCGATGTATACATTCAAAACTATATAAATCAGTAAAGTTTTTTCATTCATATGGTTTTTAAATGCATTAGTGGTTGATGTGACTGATGAAGTCGTCTTTCATGTTATGTTTTCTGTGCAGATCAGGTACAGAGCACCATAGCATTAAAGACTATGGATAATTATAAAGATACCACTTATTGTTTGGATGTATTTTCAGAGATAACCCTGTTGTTTCAAAAATTACACTGCAATCCTTTTAATTTGAGGTGGTCTCATTGATGTGAAAAACCATTGGAGAGGATGAAAAAGTGGACACTTACATCAAAATTTTCAACTTGAGATACCCGTTCCGCTGCCTTAATCACATATAGTTAATAGGGCGAAATGTAAGTCGTCCCAAAAGTTGCTGGCATAATCTGATGGGAATATTAGAAAAGTAGTCCAAACTACAAGGGTAACTCTTGAAATTGATCCAAACTATCCATGACATCGTTGTAATTCCCGTTATAAAGTACAAGGACACCACTGCAAAAGCCAACTAAAATTCTAAAAATATAGTAAATAAAATTTGGGGGGTGGTTTCGTAATTACGAGTCCGAATGAACAAGCTGAAAAATTATGATAATTATTAATTTTTTTCTTAATATTCAATCTTATACCATCTATTCTTTTGAAGTTACGAGAAATTTTGAATTTAATTTTTCTGAATTATTAATAAAAAATTATAATAACGTAACCTTAAAGTGAGGGAACCATCCAAAGCTATTAGTTGCATTATAACAACACCTGTCCCTCTCTCTCTCACCAAATCTAAAATGTCAAAATTTCTCGAAAGCCCCTATAATTTCCTCGTCTCTCCCTTTCATCCCCCAATTCTCACCTTAATTAACATTCTTCGCCATTCCTTTCTTCCCCCGACTCTCTCTTTCCCTCTCTCTCTAGTTTTCTCTTTCTCTGCATTCATTTCTCTTTCTCTCTATCTCTATCTCTCAGCTTCATTTTCTCGACTATGCATGCTCTTCAAGAAGCCGAGTGTTCTCTTTTGTAATCTCTGTCTCGCGCTTCCTCTCTCTCTCTCTCTCTGTATATATATATATATATATATATATAAATGCTTATATTCACTCCAGTGAGCGTGTATATGTATCTTCTTCTCTTTAGGTTTCAGTTTTATCGTGCTTGTTCGAATGTGTAGAGTTTGGATTTTGAAGAAAGGTATGAAATGCTGATTTTGTTCTTGCGATTTTTCAAAGCACTTGAGCTCGATTTCAGATCTGTAGCTATCGAATTTGAATTTGAAGGGACATTATGAGTCGTTCGGGGTATTAAAAGTTGTGTTCTGAGTTTTTCGATGAAAAGCTAGGGGTTGGAATTCGAAAAAATCGGTGGTTTTGTTGTTTTCTGTGGCTGTGGTGTTCAATTTGGTCATAAACTGCTTTCTTGGAGCTATTCATTTTGGTACAGACGGAGTCCCGAGGGTGCATTTGGTTGTGAAAGGTTGTGTTTGGAGTATTAAATGAAACGCTAGGGTTTTTGTTGGAGATTTGGTGGTTTTGCTGATTTGTGTGGTGGTGGACTTTGGATTTGGTGATGAATTTTAGTTTTGGGGTTCATAGAGCATAGATTTGGCAATGAACAGGAGTTTTAGGGCTCAGGAGACCGGAATGCGAGCGGCTTTGAAGCAGCAGAGGCAGCCGCAAATAGGGAGTCTGAGGACCTCGGTGATGAAGGAGAAGGAAGAGGAGCTCTCATTGTTTCTTGAGATGCGTAAACGCGAGAAGGAACGGGACAATCTTCTTTTTCAGAACTCAGAGGAGTTTGATGTTCCACTTGGTACGGGTTTGATGATCTTGTTTTGATAATTTTTTTTATTTTTTCAGGTTATGCTATGAATTGATATGTATATTTTGCATCAGCAACTAATTTGCCAATCGACCACTTGTCAGAAAAAAATTGTTGTTAACTGACAACTGAATCTGTTATAGATTTTGTTTGAAATTTAGCAATGGTTGCCATAATGTGATGTTGTCTCATAGTTTTTATATATGTTTAATTTATGGGTCTATTTTTTGCTGAAATTTTCAACTACGTAGTTTTAAAAATACTGGCTTTAAACCCCCCCTCCCTTCTTTCTTCTTCTCTTATCCCTCCTGTTTATTGGATATTATTGCGTATCATATATATACGTGATTATGTTTTACTTGCAGGAGCAGACCAGGGGAGTTATCCTATATTCAATATCCCATTGGCCACACCTGCACGCAAGGCCGGCGCTGATGATTTTATGAATTCTGAGAATGATAAGAATGATTATGACTGGTAATTTTGTATCCTTTTTGAAGTATTTAAAAGCAACTTGTGCTGATGGTGTCTTTTTCCTTCTTGACAAATTGTTGTTATTGATTGATGGTTGGCATAATCATCACTAGGTCAAGAAAAAAAAGTCTTACTACATGTCTACTGAACTCCTTTTAGTTTTTTTAGTTGAATCCGTATTTTTGTGCTGTATCCTTCGTTGAATATTTTAGAACAATAATGGTGAAGGGAGAAAACAGTATTTTATTTACTAATCTTATATCATTTCCTTGCAAGTGAGCCTTTTCATTGACGAGCTGCTGATATACTGTCTTGGAAACCCATAATGCACTCTTTATGATGCTACTTATTGTTTTGTCCAGTCACAAGTGAGTTTCTTTGCAGTCCTGTGCTTAGCATCTGGTAATCCAAGAGCTGAGAAATGTCTGCTATTGTCACATTAATCACAAATATGAATTCTCATGAATCCTCATTTTTTTACACCTACTTGAATGCTATGATTCTGCGGACAAATGAGTGTATCTTCTTCATGTTGCTTTAGGAGACCATCCAAAACTTCCTTACTCTTGCACCTCTCTCCATCTCCCCCTGCCACAGGCCACAAGAAATAGAAAAATAATAGAAAAGAAAATGCATAGGTTTCCTTTCAATTCATTGTGTGCTCCTCCCGAGGACAAATTTTTTTGCAGTTTTTGTTATCTACTACCGAGGGAAAACCTAGTGCAACTCTGCAATATGGTGAGAAATTTTTGGGGACTGAGTTCCAGGCAAGGGGTTCTGCAAATATGGTCTCCCTTATTGACATAAGATGTTTTTTCTTATTTCTGTATCTTGTAGTCACAGACATATGAGGTCCTGATAGAGGAAATGAGCAGCAGAATTTATGCTAAATTTCTTAGATGAGTTGGCTAACGGAATTGAATTTTACAATTACCGTTTAATTGGTATTGCAGACTCTCTGTGTGATGTATTACATATCAGGGAATGAATTTTATTCTCCTATGCATATGTAGATTCAAGTTATTGTCACACATTTACATAAATGTGCTGGAAAAATGCTTCTTTTAAGCTGGTTTTATTGGAGTTCTATCATTTTTGCAGGCTTCTAACCCCTCCTGGTACCCCTCTTTTTCCTTCACTGGAGATGGAATCACGTAAGATCGTGGTGAGTCAGATTGGTACTCCTAAAGCTTGCCCCACTGCACTGAAGTCTAGAGTAAGGACAATAATTCTTGAACTTGTACCGGCTTGCAGCCTTTATCTTCAGTTATTAGTTGATCATTAGTATTCAATTAATAGTTGGTGGACATGTGACTTTAGCTTTAATTCAAGTAATCATAGTGTAAGTTCGGCCATTCTAACATTCAAATTGTGAGACACCGCTGTTGTTATATGGAGCATCCCAAAGTTTGGTTGGCCGCAAGTGCTGAAAAGGGTATGCTGTCAGGTAGCAGGCTGCACAGAATTGTCCAAAATTCTTCTCTCTAAATTATGAAGCTAAGTTTTGGTGTGCAAACTTGCAAGTTGTTTTGCATCTGATATATAACTATCATAAGATCCATTAGAAGAAGTCAAATTGGGGATTACATGGTCAGACACCAAATCCACTTGAATTTGGACTTACTAGAAGCTATCAAGTTGTGACACACTCTTGCATGTTTGGCAAGCTTTGCAATATATTGACTTGTAAAGGCAAAAACCAATTTTTTCTTTTTTATCTGTTTATAGATATGCATTATCTGGGAAATGGACCTTGTTAATTTCAAGAAATGTATTGACATGGATGGCAAGAGGTATCCTCTCTAAAAGAAATATAGGTACTAACAAAGAACAATTGAAATGAGTTGTCTTTCATTGCTTATAGAGGGACAATAATTTTTTTATATTTCCTTGGAGGAAACGAGTCCATTGTTTGTGATTTCTGAACATTTAAGTTGAAATTTTTTTTTTAGGGGCACTTGGCATTTCTTTAGGTGAAATTCTTAATGAGTTCCCATAAAATGATGATGCTTTGTTCTTGAAAGCACTTTAGAGAGTTATTAACAATTTTCCCATAAAAATAAGCATTATTTGCAATTTAACCTATTTTGTATGATATCCTGATTATTTATTTCCCAAAATCATGCTGTTCTTGTATTTTTTTGCTGTGGTTACAGCTAGCGAATCCCCAGCCTGAGCCTGCAACAAGAAGCAATTCAGCATCTAGACTGCCAGCTTCCTCTCCTGGGTTGAATACTTCGAGTACAGGAATTCGCAGGCCATCTTCATTGGGGGGTCCAGGATCAAGACCTGCTACACCAACTGGGCGCCCCACTTTGACTGCAACATCTAAATCCACATCGACCTTAGTATCTAAACCCACAATGATTACAACATCTAAACCCACAATGACAGCTGCATTTAAGCCCACAATTGCCGTTGCATCTAAATCTTCTAGGTCTTCAACACCTACTCCACGTGGCACTTTGCCAGCAAATAAAACCACAGTTCCTGCAAGATCCTCTACGCCTACGGCGAGGTCTACTGTAAGATCTTCCACACCAACGGCTAGACCCTCTATACCTGCATCCAAGTCCACATCTAGGGCAGCGACACCAACTCGTAGGCCCACTACAGTTTTACCTGCAACAAATGCATCTGCTCCTCCTGTTAAGTCTCCTTTGGTTACCAAGACAGTTCCCACTACAGCAAGAAATTCGGTGCCACCACGTGCTAGTTCTCCAACAGTGAAACCCCGATCATGGAAGCCTTCTGAAATGCCTGGTTACTCCCTTGATGCACCACCAAATTTAAGGACCACACTTCCTGACAGGCCACTTTCAGCCACTAGGGGAAGGCCTGGAGCTCCCAGTGTTCGGTCCTCTTCTGTTGAACCTGTTTCTAAAGGACGGGTTAGACGGCAATCATGCTCCCCGTCAAGAGGCAGACCCCCTAATGGCATTATTTCTAGCAGTGGAAGCTCTGTTCCTGCATTGAATCGTGCATATGCTAAAGCTAATGACAATGTGAGCCCTGTTGTGATTGGAAACAAGATGGTAGAAAGGGTAATAAATATGCGGAAACTGGCACCACCAAAGCTAGATGAGAAACACTCTCCCCATAGTGATTTATCTGCAAAGTCTTCATCCCCAGACAGCTCAGGCTTTGGAAGAACCCTCTCAAAGAAATCTTTGGATATGGCTATAAGGCACATGGTATGTATCACTGTCTATCTCACATTTTTTATGTTCAGCATAGATTGAAGAGATCGGGACGTATGCATTGTTTACGAGCCTATAAATGTTTCAGCATTGCATCCAAAATCGGGTATTTGTTTTTAATTCAGTTTTTTTCCTCTGGAGTAGGATATAAGGCGAACCATTCCAAGCAATCTACGGCCATTGATGACCAACATTCCAGCATCCTCTATGTATAGCGTTAGATCGGGTCCTACAAAAAACCGGACAGTCAGTGTTTCAGATTCCCCTCTTGCAACTAGCAGTGATGCTAGTTCTGAAGTGAGTGTAAACAACAATGCCCTTTGTGTGGACAGAAGCGAAGTAGATGATGATATCAATAGCGATAAAGGTTTTCGGTCTTCAGCTAGTGTTCGAGACAGGTGATGATTGATTTCCACTGTTGTAAGTCATAACCTACTTTTCTAATCCACGTATTTTCATTTTGAATCTCGACCAGGATGGCAGTTGATAGGTGATTGGTTTTCATGATGAACCGGTAAGATATGTGGCATATATGATTTATGTAAAGTTAAATGGATTGGTTAGCTGTATTATTGGATCCTGTGTATCATTAGAGGTTCGATCATATGCTGAACATCCTCTGGGCTAATCCTGTGGGATTAGGTTATACCTAACAAGTTTGTTTAACCCCTTTTATGATGAGATCAACTCTCCTCCTCTCCTCTCCTCTCCTCTTCTGATTTGATTAATTGGATCCCAAGTCTTTTGGATGAATTCTGAATTGATCCCATTGAATCTTAACCTGGTCTGCATGAGTATGGAATTTCAGGTGACAGGGTATTTCTGGATCCAAGCCGTAAGAAGCAGGACCACATATCCAGAGTCTGCTTTGATGTCTACTTTTCGGTTCTGCATAGAATCAAAAGGCCAACTGGTAAGAGTCTGGTACACTCTTTTCACCGATAGAATTGTAATAACTCAGTCCTCTCTTGGCTACTGATTGTATTCGTGGTCTTGACAACCCCTTCATAGGACATCGTTACAAATTCACACAAGGGCACCGGCATTTTTGTGCTTTTAGTTAAAATTACGAGGCCATTGTTTAAGAAACACGAAAAGAATATGTACCCTTAAACTGGGTTTTGAGAAAGAGAGATGTAAATGATAAACAATCTTTATCGGTTGAAGGCTTCTTATCCTGGTCCTTCTTCCCTCTCTTTTCTATAGCCACCACTTTGTTAGGGATGAGCTCTGCAATTTCCTTCCAATAGTGCTCGTCACTATCACCTTTCCTTTTCCATGGTAGTGGCCTAGTTGGTCTCACTAGAGACCTGCCTTTTCCAGTAGAATTCAGTTTTGTACTCGTCAGCTTCCTCGAAAATCTGGTTCAACAATTCTTTTTCTTTCTTCTCCTTCTCCTCAATTTGTATTGCATTTTGTCTGATAGTTACAAATCCAATCTGATTATGAGTACTTTTTTTATCATTTTAGAAGTAAAATTCATAATTAATGATTGTTCCTTTGAGAGCAGTGATATAGTCTAATTGTGGTAGCAAAATTGAAAACCAACTAACCGATAAGCAGAAAAAAAAAAAAAAGGAAAGCAAGAACACCAAAAGGAGAAAGAACCCTTCTTCTCGTACTGCTATTAAAATGGATTTACTTGCAACCAACGAGCACAAGCAAACAATCACATGTCAATGGAAAAACAGTATTTAGTCAACACATCACAGGACAAGACATCGTTTTTGCAGGTAAAATCCCAAGGGAAAAAATCATTGGACCACTGCCTGACTATAAACCTCCTCCACCATCAGCAAGCAATGATAGGTTTACACACATTCACTCTCTATGCTTACCTAGCTATTAACGGCACCAAGAATAACTCGAGTCAAACATAGTTCTTCCCCTGCAGGTGAATTGGATAATAACATCTCAACAAGCAACAGGACCCAAAAAAAGTGCAAAGTGAAGAAGTAGTGAGACAAACCTATCTTAACTCCGTATTTGGGTGTGGCATTCGCATGAGTGATGTGTTTTTAATGCAGTTTATTCTCCAAGCAATAGATGTGTAGAGCTCAACACTGGGAACAACCATCTAAAACTGAGCTAAATCAGAGTCAGTCTGGAAGATAAACCATCTATTCTCCTAGCGAGAAACCCCCTGTAGACGGCTTTTGGTTTTGGTTTCGGTTATCTATGCCCTAGGTCTTGCTTGCACTCATTTGCCTCTAGCTAACCCCATGCACTTTACTCTCTCCATTCTTCTACCTCCCCCATTAATTTTCCATTAAGGGATTCCAACTTGGCACATAGGTAGTCCATAAATTTGAACCATCCCATCGAATAAGTTGTGTTAGCCTGACTTACTACCTTAATTAAAACTTCTTTACCTGCCTTAGAGAGAATCTGCACCTTATAACCTTTCAATTTCCTCCAAAGCCGCTCCTTTACGTTGCTAAACACTTATTTTTTTTTGACTTACCAATGATCATGGGTAACCCCAAATATTTGTCGTGTTGTTGCACCAACTGCACCCCTAAAATTCATTGCAGCTCCGAAGTTAGCCCAGCAGGTACATTTTTGCTACACACTATAACCGATTTCTCGTGATTGATCTTCTGCCCTAAAGCTAGCTCATATATGTAGAATCTTTTGCATTGCTCTCGCTTCCGAGGCCATAGCCTTCAAGAACAGTAGAAGACTGTCATCTGTAAAAAGCAAGTGTAAGATTCTTGGACATCCCTTTACAATAGATACACCTGGAATCCAGCCATTTCTTTAAAGATGAAATTTTTTCTGGACAAACAAGAAAAAGATAAGGAAATAGAGGGTCTACTTGCCGGATACCTCTATTAGGATAGAAGAAACCCAGTTGGTTATTGTTCAGAATTGAGGATCAGCTATTGGCCTATGACCACCGCAGCCCGGCCGTTGAACCTTTAGGTTGCGAGTTCTAACCTCAGCCCCCCTCCCCTGTAGAAGTTTGAAATGGTGGTTATTGTTTAGATTTAATAAGACATTGATGTTGTTGGACTAAAAACAGATTTTTAGTAATTAAAATCTGACTTTTGGTCGACTTTGAGCCTAAATTAAAGTGAGACTTACTCGTTGTTTCGAGTAAACTTTCGTGGGTTCGTGTTCTATTCCGTAAGGAGAATAATGTAACATATTCAATTGTTTAAATCGAGTGAGAAATGAATAAGAAAGTAGACTCAAAATTGATCCTTTTGTAATGTAAAAATAGAGGTTGCATAATGTGGGATTTACCAATGGGTCTTTGGCAGGGGTGGCTTGATATGTTTTGAGGCCTAAAGCGATAAATTCAATTGAGACTTTTTAAATTTTTTTTTTTAATAATAGTGCAAATTTTTTAATATTTAATTTTTTTTTTTCTAGATGCATATTAATTGTTTAGTATCCGCATTGAAGTTTTTTAACATATCTTTTTTTATGAATAGTATAACTAAGTGACTTAATTTTTAATTAAATAAAAAATTTCAAAACTTTCAAATTCAAAGATTATTTGACAAATTATGTTGTTTCGTCATTGACACTCTTATAAAATTATTTTTCTAAGTATTAGACATTACTCACGAAATATATGTTTGATTAAGTTTTTTAAGATTATGATAAAAATGACAATATTACATGGATTTTATTTAGTGACCTTATCATTTTTTGTTATTAAATTGACAGTGCATCCTACTATTAGTTGGGACCCACTATCAATTCTATAGTTATGATCCATCACGTCACCAGATAAAATAACTAAATTAGGTACAATATATATATATATAATTCAACAGAAAAACTTTTGAGATATCACTATGACTTTAAACCTATTTAAATTTAAACTTAATCATAAAGATGACTATGTTAAAAATATGGAAGAAATATAATTCTCTGATATTGAAAACAAATTGCAGAACTGAGATATACCCCAGTACCCAACTAAGAAAATTTATAATATTGACACGTTTAATTTTAAATCGAGTTTTACTATTAAAACAATTGAAATGACTGTTCTTTTTGATTAGAATGAAAATATTTTACAACTGTTAACTAAACGAGAAGTCTTAAAGACTCAAGATCAAGATTATAAATTTTTATATATTGGGTTAGTACAGGTTGCTTTAAAACCTGTAACTCTTCATGGATTTAATGTCAAGCCTTTCAATTTATCTTTGAGTACATTTATAAACTCATCTTCTACTTTATTATGTAGATTAAATGTGGAAGTATCAACTGATTTATCAGAAGATGGTAAATGATTTCTAGAATTTATCCTAGCAAATTTTATAGTAACATCACCTTGAGATGATTGGGCGATCTGAGTTATTTCATTATTGATTTCTGGTTCTTTAGGAACCACAGACTCCAATTGCCAGGTGTCTGGAAACTAGATATCCGACCATTTAATAGTTTTTAGGACTTCAATTTTATTTTTAAATGTATTAGTTTCAATTAAAGTGGTTTGACCTTTAAGGTTCAAAAGCTTAACTTCAGGACATAAAGTATTCATAACTTTATAATAGACCCTATAAGCAAACACAATTATATCTGTGTCTTCTTTATAATTATAACCATAAGGTTTTATATGACAGGTTAAAGCGTCCAAAATATTTTTATCAGTTAAAGATACAGATAAATTTAGAAAACAGTTAAAATAAACTGGACCAGTACTTAAGCTTGATTGCATAACACCCATTAAAGACTGATCAAAATTAAGACATCTAGCATCTCGTAATGTTAACATAAAAGAGGTATTTAATCCATGAAGAATTAAAGGTTTAAAAGTAACTTGTACTAACCCAATATGTAAAAATTTATAATCTTGATCTTGAACCTTTAAAACTTGTTGTTCAGTTAGCAGTTGTAAAATATCTCTATTTTGATCAAAAGGAACAATTATTTCAATCGTTTTAATAGTAAAACTCGATTTAAAATTAAACTTGTCAATATTATAAATTTTCTTAGTTGGGTACTGGGGTATATCCCAGTTCTGCAATTTGTTTTTAATTTTAGAGAATTCTATCTCTTTTATATTTTTAGCATAATCATCTTTATGATTAAGTTTAAATTTAAATAGGTTTAAAGATATAGTGGTATCTCAAAGGTTTTTCTATTGAATTATATGTTTCATTATTACCTTCTTCAAGTTACTATTGTAATTCGTCTTTTAATTCTGTTATAGTACCGCTACTGTGACAATCGCTATAATAATCCTGAAATAATAACGTTCTCAACATCTATCGTGAGCTAAACCTGTTCTAGTGAATTTTTCTAAAATCTTATTCTGTTAACGATACCATGACCAGAAACTTGCCATCAAAACACCTAACAACTCCAAAATAACGGCTAAAATGGTTTAATATCCCACACGCCACCAGAAATAGAACTCGACAAGGAAAATTTCATGCGAACACGAATTCAACAAACAATAAAAGCTAACAGAGAAACATTATTATGACAAGATTACTGTCACAATATCGAAGTAAGAGTACTCTAACATAATTAAATCACAATTACATAAGCAACAAAAATTAGAAATAGATCTGCACATAAATCAACAGTTTTATGGAAATAGTGTTGCATGTATAACAAGTATTTATGTGAATTTCGTCATAATTATTTAAAGGAATTTTTATGGGTTCAGTGATTGGAGGATAAAAACTGCTTATAGTTTTTCCATCAAGTGTTTCCCATTTATGTTGAAAAATTTCCAAAACATTTAAATGTTCAATTGTAGGAGGAACATAATAAGTTGAAAATCAATTAACAAAAGGAATTATTTTCCTTTCCCTTTTTATATAAAGATGAATTTTTTTTTTTTTTATAATTTTGAAGTTCTTCTGAACTCATAGTTTTAAAATACCAATTTCTAAATTCTTTAAATTTAGGGAGATGAAATTCTTTATTACAAGTGTCATTTATCATCTGGAATACTCTTCGATCTAATTCCATAAAGACTATATTTGAAATTCGATTTCGGATGAAGTTAAATCAAAATTTTTATCAAAGTCTTCTTCTTGAGAAGATATGTTAACAGGTCGATAGATACCATGTGGAATATTATTTTTTGAAATTTTAATTCCTTAAATTATGAGTTCTTTATCTCTTCTTCGATTTTGGACCGAGGAAGTAGATTTTCTTAAAGGTATAAAATGAGTTAATATTGTTTTATAACCTGATGAAGTTTCTGATTTATCAAAAGATGGTAAATGA